ACAGAAATACTTTAAAGCTTTATTCCAGAGAAATGTCTCCATCTCTAAACATTTTAAGGATGCTTGTGCCCTGATCCAAGGGGTCTTGAGCTCCTGTTTCCCCTGTTCAGGGATTGTGATGTGCAGAAATACTTTAAAGCTTTATTCAAGAGAAAACTCTCCATCTCTAAACATTTTAAGGATGATCCAAGGCTCCTGTTTCCCCTGTTCAGGAATTGTGATGCACAGAAATACTTTAAAGCTTTATTCTAGAGAAATGTCTCCATCTCTAAACATTTTAAGGATGCTTGTGCCCTGATCCAAGGGGTCTTGAGCTCCTGTTTCCCCTGTTCAGGGATTGTGATGTGCAGAAATACTTTAAAGCTTTATTCCACTTTTTATTTCTCTTTTCTGAGTGTGGTCTGTCTTCCTTAGCCAAGAAAAGACAAGGAATTTGAGAGAGGACTGTGGGAGGCCACAGAGTTAGTAGTAATATTCTGGGATTTCTAACACTTAGCTGAATTGGTTTTAATGTCCCTTGGAGCTGAAGCAATGAAAAGAGCCAAAATAAAAATATTCACCTTCCAAACATGACATGACAGTGTGTTTTCATCAAGAAAAGCAGCAGCAGGGATGAAAAGAGGGGAAATCTCAGTTAATGTTGCTGAGGGGGTGTGGGGAAACATACCTGGGAGCTGGCATTTTATTTTTGGGAAAGCAGAGGATCAGAAGAACAGAAATGGGCAGAAAGGGGAATAAGGATGAATTCCAGCTATGAAAACAGTGCATGGCACTAGAGAAATCATTAACGAGCAGCACGTAGTTCCAGGTGGCACGTGTCAAAACGGATCTTAAAATGCCTCATAGTTAATTTTTTTGGGGGAAGAACAATTTCAGGAGGGATTTGAGATCTGCAGAAGCTGCTGGCTGGGGAGGATCTTAAAATGCTTCATGGTTAATTTTTTTGGGGGGAAGAACAATTTCAGGAGGGATTTGAGATCTGCAGAAGCTGCTGGCTGGGGGTTTGGTGTGGTTTGCTTTGTGGGTTGGTGCTGAGGATGTGTCCTGCTCATCACCTGAGAGCCCGTGCAGGGATTTATTTGCTGCTGGGTGGTTTTGGATGCAGCAAAAGTTTTGTTACCTTAAATCCCAAGTGTCACATGAAGGCTTTTTCTCACCTAGAGATGGGGCAGCTGGGTTTGAAAAACTTGTATTTTGTTCTCAGCCTCGTGTGAAGGGTGACACAATATAGATGTTATAATTCTAATCAGAATTAACTATTTCTTAACTAAAATATATTAATGGTTGAGTCTGACACCATGGGTGAGGGATAACTCAGAACAAGACTTGGAATACAGATGTTATAATCAGAATTAACTCTTTCTTAACTACAATATATTAATGGTTTAATCTGACACCATGGGTGAGGGATAACTCAGAACAAGACTTGGAATGTAGATGTTATAATTCTAATCAGAAGTTAACTATTTCTTAACTACAACATATTATAATGGTTTAATCATTATAATCATATTATAATGACACCATGGATGAGGGATAATTCAGAACAAGACTTGAACTATATATGTTATAATTCTAATCAGAAGTTAACTCTTTCTTAACTACAGTATATTAATGGTTTAATCTGAGCCCATGGATGAGGGATAACTCAGAACAAGATTTGGAATGTAGATGTTATAATCAGAATTAACTATTTCACAACTACAATATATTATAATGCTTTAATCTGATCCCATGGATGAGGGATAATTCAGAACAAGACTTGGAATGTAGATGTTATAATCAGAATTAACTATTTCATAACTACAATATATTATAATGCTTTAATCTGATCCCATGGATGAGGGATAATTCAGAACAAGACTTGGAATACAGATGTTATAATCAGAATTAACTCTTTCTTAACTACAGTATATTAATGGTTTAATCTGACACCATGGATAGAGGACAACTCAGAACAAAACTTGGAATGTAGATTTTATAATTCTAATCAGAATTAACTCTTTCTTAACTACAGTATATTAATGGTTTAATCTGAGCCCATGGATGAGGGATAACTCAGAACAAGATTTGGAATGTAGATGTTATAATCAGAATTAACTATTTCTTAAATGCAGTGTATTAATGGTTTAATCTGAGCCCATGGATGAGGGATAATTCAGAACAAGACTTGGAACTTCATGCAGCAAACATGGAAGGCAGAAACACAGATAAGTTCCTCACTCACATGGTTAAATATGATCATTTCAGGTCTTTAAAGTCCCAAGCATCTGAGTTTTCAGAGTGAATCTTGCAAGTTGTTTTAACTGTGGCTGCCACCAGTTGGCTGCTCATCTGCTTTGACATCCACAAGGTTTTAAAGCACAACCTGCAGGAGGAGTGGAACAGAGAAAGGAAAGTGAGAAAAGAAAATAAATAGTGGCATCACTGCTGAGGAGGAGCAGCGAGGGAAGAGCCAGGGAGCTTGAACTTGGAAAGGCACAGAGGAAGGACCTGGGCATTCAGGGAGGTGAAATCCTGTGAATTAGAGGGGAATTAGGAGAACATTACACTGGTGGAGCAAAATGGTGATCAGGGCCAGGATTAGCATTGTGTTGTCTGTGCTGAGATTAATTAATGGATAAATAAATGACCTGCTCTGTGTTTGTGGGGGCCATCCATTGTTTTGGGATAGTTACTGATCCCCTTAGAGTAGGATGTGAACACCTTGCTCTGATTCCCACTCTGCATTTTGAGCCTTGCAGTTTGTAAAGGTCAGGGTGTGATTCTTGCTGTTGGTTTCATGAAGCTGATTAATTCATTTTCTCTGTAAGAAAATATCTGAAGTATTGGCACTGCTCTGCACTCCACTCACTAGAGAGGGAAACAGTGGTGTGAGCACAGATTTGCATGATGGCATGTGGGATTGTCCCTTTTCTTGGGCTTGAATAATACAAATTCAGCTTTAGCTCAGAATTATTTAATTCAGGCTTTGGCTCAGAATTATTTAATTATTATTTAATTCAGGCTTTAGCTCAGAATTATTTACCTGCTGGCCAGTTTTCCTTGCACATTGATGTATATATATTCATGTGGCATTGTCCCTTTTCTTGGGCTTGAATAATACAAATTCAGGCTTTAGCTCAGAATTATTTAATTATTATTTAATCCTGGCTTTAGCTCAGAATTATTTACCTGCTGGCCAGTTTTCCTTGCACACTGGTGGATAAGAAAAAGCCCATTTTTGGTGACATGGTGAAGCCTGTTGGACAAACACTGAGCCTTGAACTGGGCAGTGCCACTGACCTTCTGTGCCCATGTCACACTGCTCTACCCTATTTTTCTCCTTCTAAAATGGAGATTTTATCTAATTACCTCTGCTTTTATCAGTAATAACAGCAGCTTTGATTGCTGAGGATGTGTGTAGTTGGAAAGCCAGAGCTGCAGCTAGAAACCCCCAGGAATAAAGTGCACAGAACACATGGAAATAAGTTTGTTTTCTCTGAGGACTTAGCCAGGGAAGCCTGGCTTTGTGTCTGGCTGCATCTGGTGTTCCCAGCAGCATTTCTTCTGCCCCCACTACTCCTGGCATCTCTTGGTGTCCACTGCAGTTGCCTTGGTGCTTTCTGGTGTTGCCTTTCACATTCCTGATCCTTTTCCCTTCTCATGCTCCTGAGCCACCCCAAAACCATCTCCTTGTGCTGCTTCCCCAGTTTTTGTCTGGCCAGAGGGGCTGTGGCACCTGCCAGGTGCTCTGTGCTCCTGCTGACCTGCCAGGATGCCAAACATCCCAGAAAAGTGCTGGGCTCCTTGAGAGCTTCATCTGAAACTCATTTTGAGATCGTGACATCTTTCCGTGCCGTTGCTCACAATTAATGACTTAATAAATGACTTCATGGCCGTAGGGAAGGTAAGGACAGAAGATTCAGGCTGGTTTGGTGCCTGTGATGCACTTTTCAGCAAATCACTGTTTTTTCAGACCTTTTTCTGATCCATTTCATTTCAAAACTGTTCTGGGATTTTGGGATTTTTGTCTGCGTGACAAGGAGCACAGGTTTGGTTTGTTCTCTGGCAGGGAGAGAAGCTCAGGGTCTGGGGACCCTCCCAAACTTAGAGCTTGACTCTAATTTCCTGTAGTTAAGATGATTCCCTCTATTATTTTCTGCTAAATAGGTCAGTTTTATGTTCCTACCAGTGTCTGTGCTGGTGGAAGTGTGGATGTTGCTATAGGATGTGAAATAAAACAATGTGGGTATTGGAATGGTGGATATTGGAATTTCTATGGTAAAAAGAGGGACATTCAATTTTTGACTTTAATATTTATAGATTTTAAAAAGAGACAGTGGATTGGAGGGTGACAGTGCCACCTCTCCAATGACACTGGACAAACCAACAGTCTGTTAAATTTCTCTTCTAGAAAAAAAGGCAAACCAATAATTATTCAGAGGAAAACACATAAGAAAATTCATTACAAGAATGTAAAATCAGAAAGCTCAGAAGAACAGGGTGACGTGTGGCCTTCCCTCCTGTCCTGCTTCAGGAAGCACAAAAAGCAGTGTGTGAATGTTTGGGGTTGGCATCTGCTCTCCCATCCTTCTTCCTGAACTGAGGAAAATCCTCAGCTAACGAGGATTTCGTGGTGTGTTTGTAAACTGATGCACACGTGGCTCAGGCTCAGCTTTCCTGGTGGCTCACATAATTAAAACCAGAATATTGCAGGGCTTTGGGTGCTTCCTCATGGCTTTCATTCAAAACCAGAATATTCCTGGGCTTTGGGTGCTTCCTCATGGCTTTCATTTAAAACCAGAATTTTGCTGGGCTTTGGGTGCTTCCTCATGGGTTTCATTTAAAACCAGAATATTGCTGGGCTTTGGGTGCTTCCTCATGGCTTTCATTTAAAACCAGAATTTTGCTGGGCTTTGGGTGCTCTCTCATGGCTTTCATTTAAAACCAGAATTTTGCTGGGCTTTGGGTGCTTCCTCATGGGTTTCTTTTGCCTGCTCCTTCCTCAGATGCTGCTCCTCCAGTGCATCCAGGAGCAGCAAGGCTGGGACTACCTGGGCTCAGGTTATAAATAAAAAAATGAATTTGATGGTCAACATTAAAATCTGTAGCCATCATTTGAAATGTCATGTGGATCGTTTGGAAATTACACTTTTTATTTTTCACTTACCATTTAAAAGTGTTTTGCAGATAAATTGGGGTTTTGAAGGAGGTGACTGGAAGCGTTGGTGTCTTGGAACATCAGCTGCTGTGCTTGTCTGAAGTACAATAGTTTGCTTTCTAATTGCTTTTATAGATTATATATTTATATATTACTTTATATTTTGTTTAATATTATTTATATATTGGTTTTGTATATCATTATTTATATATTGGTTTTATATATTTATATATTGGGTTTATATATTATTTAGATATTGGGTTTTATATATTATATATTGGTTTTATATATTTTATATATATATAATATACATTGTAACAAGCTGATCTGCTTGCTGGGAGTAAAACATAGCAAAGTACTAAACGGAAGTTTTTTCTTTCCTTATCTTTCCCTTATATATTATTATTATTATATATTATTATTTCTATATGGGTTTTAGGTATCATTATTTATATACTGATTTCACATTTCTACATTGTTTTTCTTTAATTTAATTAACTAAAACGAATTAATTTAATTTCTGTCAGAAAATCCACGTTTATGCTGTGTGTCTTTCCCCCCCTAGAGTGAAAGATGCTGAGTGCCCACAGTGGAACAGCTCTCCTGAGGAACACACCTCTGTAAACCTTCCCTCAAAAAATCACCTGCAGGCAGATCTCCTGTGATGGACCCTCGGAATACTGCTATGTTAGCCTTGGCTTCTGATTCTGAAGGGTTTGCTGGGAAAAGCCCCTCTGTGGTAAACATTGGCACCTTGGTGGGCAAAGGGGAGGCAGAGCTCGAAGGCTGCGGCAAGGAGGAGGAGGAGGGGAGGAAGAAGAGCAGGGAGGGGAGCGCCGAGAGCGGCCACGGCGAGGCTCTGGGCGATGCGCAGCAGCAGTTCTCCGTGAAAGAAACCAACTTCTCCGAGGGAAACCTCAAACTGAAGATTGGCCTTCAAGCAAAGAGGACAAAAAAGCCTCCCAAGAACCTGGAGAATTATGTCTGCCGGCCTGCCATAAAAACCAGCATCAAGCAGCCAAGAAGGGCTCCCAAGAGCGGGAAGATGACAGAGGAGAAGGGCGAGCACTGTCCTTCAAAGCAGGTGAGTGATGTGGCTGTGGGGTGGCTTGCAGGTCATGGTGCATTTCAGCTGGGTTTAAAAGCTTCATGGTCTCTGCACCGCTGTGTTCTGCTGGTTTGGTGTGTGACCTCTGGTGCTGAAGTGTCTGGAGTTAGAAATGGTTTTATTTTGTGGCCATTAGCAGGAGAAAATGCTCTTTCACAGTGTGCCAGGTTGGTGTCTCAACAGCAGTGGGAGATGATTCCCATGTTCACTTGAGCTGGGTTCATTTCTGAAAATCAGTGGGGAGATTTGGAGTCTTTTCTTAACAAAGTGAAGGGTTTGGGTGTCTTGTCTCTCTTGAGATGGGGCTCTGGATGTGCTGTGCTTGCCTCTGCTGGTTGGGTTTCTGTTTTTTCCTACCTGTTAGAAGCTTTGTTTTGCTGTGTCTCAGCTGTCACTGCTCAGGCAGGGCCTGAAAAGTAAGACAAGACTTTTCCAAATGATTTAAAGACCAGCCTGGTGGTAGCTGCATGTAAATGTTGGAGAGATGTGCCAGGGCTTTTCCAAAGCCTGCCTCGAGGATTTGTTTTGATGATCTCCATGATGTAATCAGTAAGAGCAGCAGTAGCAGATAGGGAAAGCAGGATAAATGGCAAGGGTTACAAATACAGTTGGATAGAGATTAAATTTTTGAAGGGTTTGGTTACAGCCTGCTCTTTTTTTCCCCCATAAACGTAAAAGTTTTGGTAATCAAGGTTAGAATGTACCCTTGTGTAGTACTGCCTGGGGAATCCAGGGAATCCCTGGAAGCTGGAGTCCTTCCTCTGCTGGGGTTTTCTCTTCAGGGGGCTCCAGAGCTTCCCAAGGCTGAAGCATTTCCATTTCTCCAGCCTGTGTCCTGTCCTCAAGGCTCCCTGCACCAATCTGTCCTGAGGCAGAGCCTGCCCGAGGGAAGGAAAATTCCTCACCTTGTGCTGAGGTGATGTGTGCCTGCCATACCCAGACATTTCCCTCTCCCCTGCCATCCCCACACCTTCCCTCTCCCCTGCCATCCCCACACCTTCCCTCTCCCCTGCCATCCCCACACCTTCCCTCTCCCCTGCCATCCCCACACCTTCCCTCTCCCCTGCCATACCCACACCTTTCCTTTCCCCTGGCATACCCACACCTTTCCCTCTCCCCTGCCATACCCAGACATTTCCCTCTCCCCTGCCATACCCAGATCCTTTCCTCTCCCCGGCATACCCAGACCCTTCCCTCTCCCCTGCCATACCCAGACCCCTTCCCCTGGCATACCCACACCTTTCCTTTCCCCTGCCATGGCATGCCCAGACCTTTCCCTCTCCCCTGGCATACCCAGACCCTCTCCCCTGGCATACCCTGACTGAAGTTGGCCTTGAGGAAGAGTCACCTTAAAGAGAAGGGAAGTTTGGGGATCACCTCACTGTGGCCTTCCAATGGCAGGGAGAGAATCCTTACAAATCTTCACAAGGGCCTGCAGTGCCAGACAGGGGCAATGGCTTTACCCTGCCAGAGGGCAGGGTTGGGTGGGATTTTGGGCAGGAATTCCTCACTGTGAGGGTGTGAGGCCCTGGCACAGGTGCCCAGAGAAGCTGTGGCTGCCCCTGGATCCCTGGCAGTGCCCAAGGTCAGGTTGGATGGGATTTGGAGCAGCCTGGGACAGTGGAAGGTGTGGAATGGAATCTTTAAAATCCCTTTTAGCCCAAACCAGTCTGGGATTCTGAGTAATAAATTATGTGCTTACAAAACAAGGGTGCTGGATGTTATGTGTAAGGACTAAAATTGCTTTTTCCAGGCTCTACAGTGCACTCACATTGGGGTTTTCCTCCTCTGGCAACAGAGGTGTTTGCAGTCAGCCTATTGAACAAGAAATTCTCAAGTGCTCGTTGTGTAACTTCAGATTTTGGCAGTGGTTTTTATTTTACATTCTTCCATTTCAGAACAAGCTTATTATTTCTAATGATGTTTCTAACTTTAGCTTGAAAAACATCAGAAAAGTTGATGGCAGTTTGTTATTACACTGATGGTTTTCTTTTGTTTATTTTTAAATTTTTCTTTCTTTTTTTGTTGTTGTTGTTTTTTGGTTTGGTTTTTTTTTGACAGTGTTGCAATGAGTTGAGTATTGGAACAGTCTGGAATATCCAACTAGTGATTTCTCTTGATGTCTGGATTGAGGTGGCCCCTGCAGCTGAAAATCTCTTCTTCAGGGGAGGTTTAGGGTGGATTTTCAGGAAAAGGTTCTTCCCCAGAGGGTGCTGGCACTGCCCAGGCTCCCCAGGGCACGGGCACAGCCCCAGGGCTGCCAGAGCCCCAGGAGGGGTTGGACAGCACTCCCAGGGTGGGATTTTGGGGTGTCTGTGACTGCCTGGCCCCTGTGGGTCCCTCCCAGCCCAGGACATTCCATAATTCCCTGATTCCACACTCAAAAGGCACCACTGAGCCTGGAGGCTTTCCCTTTGCATCAAGAGATCGTGCCCTGGGAGTTTTCACCAGAGAAAATAATCAATATTTGAATTCTCATGCTGGCAGCAGGGATTCTTCATCCTTGACATCTTGGTTTATACACCAGGATATATTTTTTTTTCCCATTTCAAAATGGAAAGCAGAAAAGGAGGCAAATATTAGTGATGGTTCTGATGTGATGCATGTTGATATCACAGCAGCTCTGGATTGCAGCTCCTCTCAGAGCAGTCACTGCTCTCCTGCCTGGCAAGCAGCCCTGCATGCAGAGGATGCAGATCTGTTGCATTAAATTTGCATTATTTACAAGAGTTTCAAATCCCTGACTCATGATAAGTCCCTTTAGATCCTCTGCTCTCTCCTGAGTTGCTCTGAGATGCTGTTTAAGTCTGTCTGTTCCCTGCTGCCATTTTGCACTTTGGATTGTTGGAAATGACACTAAACAACACCCTGCTGGTTCCTGAAGTGGGATTGGAAGTGGAAATAAATGGGAATGATGGCTTAAAACCATCACATGTTTTGAATATAATACTCAAGGGCTGGTTTTTTTTTGTCTTGCTGCCATGTAATAAATAGAAATAAGTATAAATATATGCAATAAATATAAATAAATAGAAATATATAATATATAAAAATAAATAATAAATATAAATAATATATATATAATAAATGTAAATATATAAAAAAATAATATAAATGTAATAAATGATAAAAGTTGTAACACTGAAAATTACACTTCAGCAAAGGAAAGCTCTCCATGAATTTTTGCTGTGGATGCAGAGGAGGGGAAGCAAACCTGTGACCCATTCAGAGCCAGGTGTGGCTTTACTGGAGCTCTGAAAGGGAACTTTCTGTTCTTTTAAAGGAGCACTGAAGAATTAGAATGAAAATTTAGCCCTGCAGTGTGCACAGTTACACTGAGAGACAAAGAGAAGTAGTGGAATTCTCCTCCTGGGAATATCTAAAATGAAAACAGGAGGAAAATCCTTTGCACTGCCATCTCTGACAGGTTTGGTTTTTTTTTTTTTTTTGCTGAAGTTTAGTGCTGATAAAACTTGGGGAATGTCTTCAGATTTATGAATAAAGGGTTTATCTCCAGGAAAAGGCCTCCCAGACCTTGGAATCCAGCACTGAACAATTTTCAGTGTGAATAATTCCACACTTCCCTGGGCAAGCTGTTCCAGTGCCTCACCACCCTTTCAGTGGGGAAATTTTTCCTCATATTTTTATAATTTGTCCTCCAGAAATGTATAGACATAAAAATTAATTTTTTTTTTTTTTTTCCTGAGGAGAAAAATCACAGAGCAGGAAGGGGAATTTCAGAAATGACTGACATTGCCAGGTGTTACAAAAACCAAAATGAACTGTTTTCATTTTGCTTTTTGACTCTTGAGGATGGAATTCTTTCAGAAAACGTCCTGGGGCAGGCAGACAACGCTGTGCTAAGCCCAAAACCCCGAGCCTTGAACAAAACCAGACATTTTTGCCCCTGTTATTTTGCAGGAATGGTTCAGCTGTGCTGGCAGCAGTGAAGCTTTAGCAACAAAAGGCAAGAAGTGACAGTGGGAACACAGGGCAGCAGGTTGGGGCTTGCCCTCTGCTCCATCTCCTTTTTTCTGGGCAAAACTGCTGAGTGCAGGGTTCTGCAGATCTTCCTCTGCCTGTGGTCATGCTGGGAAGTTTGCTGATGAAATCACAGCCACCCACTGAAAGTTTCAAGCAAAAAAAAAAATTTAAAAGATGAAGAATTGATTTGTTTTCTTTTTGGGTAGCTCGGGAATATTTCCTGCGGGATCTGGGACAGAAGTTTTTTGTCTTAGGTTAATTCCACAAAATCCTTGTTTTCCTGGTAGTTCAAAGTTGCTTTGAGAAAAGGCTAAAAAATAAAAAGTCTTGGAGGTGAAAGAGTTTTTATTTGGGGGATTGCCTAGAATGTGTCGATGCCACAACTACAAAATAATTCCTGTGATGCCTCAGAATGCTCCAGACTGAGCATTGGCCTGGAGTACAATAATGAACAAATCTGTGTATGTCCATTAAAAATCCTTACTTCTTACCATTGGCTCTCAAAAAATCCCAAACAACATTTTGAATAAACAGCGTTTTTATTTGGGGGATTGCCTAGAATGTGTCGATGCCACAACTACAAAATAATTCCTGTGATGCCTCAGAATGCTCCAGACTGAGCATTGGCCTGGAGTACAATAATGAACAAATCTGTGTATGCCCATTAAAAATCCTTACTTCTTGCCAGTGGCTCTCAAAAAATCCCAAACAACATTTTCACGAGCGGGCTGGTTCCTTTTAACTGCTTCAGGTGTTGGAAGCTGAGAGTATTCTGAGTTTTGTAGCTTGGCTTTAGTTGGGAAGTGTGACACCAGACTTGATAGATGTCCCTGTTCTCAGGGAAGATCTGCTGCCCTTGACCTTTGTGCACATAAATACCAGAGATAATGACACTAAATAATGATCTAGCAGTAAGAAACCCTGATTCTCTTTTTAGAATAAAGTGGGTTTTTTTTGCTGTTGGTGCCTGTGATGATTCTGGAATCACAGAA